GATGCGGAGGGTAGTGAAGCGGGGTGGGAATCTTCAGTAGTAGAGAGGAGTCCTCCTGGAATCCCCTCCAGCTCCACCAAGAATTTGTGTCCTAACCTTCCTGAGGGAAGTCACGCGGTCCCGCGGCCCGTCCTTTCCGCGGTCGAGGGAGACCCCGCTTGGCTGCCCTCCGCCCTTAGCCTCCCCCTCACTCCCGGGTCCTTGGAACTGACAAAACACGCGCTTGGTGCAAGAAGGTGGGAAGGGGTCAGATCACTTGGTTCAGCATCCCCCTTTCCTCCGACTGTGGGCGCATCCCTTCGACCCACAGCACCCCCCCCCCGCCGTGACTCAGCACCCCTCTTTTGATCCTCGAGGGGTGGCGAGAGTGGGGTTCGGCCTAGTGAGGCGAGCCGGAATCTCTCCAGCCAGAGTCCGCGTGCACGGACGGGCAGAGACAGCTGGCGCTGAGCGAGAGCGCGGGCCGAGGCCAGGTTGGGGGGAGGGGAAAGAGGTGTGTGTAGGGGGTGGTATTTATAGCCCAGGGACGGGGGCCGAAATCCAATCCTCGCTTTCCACTGGGATGGACCTGGAAAGAATCTAGAAGGGGCGAATACGGGGCCAGAGCCCAGGATGGCGCTCACCCCGCCCAGGGCAAGGCAGGTTACCTTCGGGGCCTCACCGCAGGTTCCGCTTCCTTTTCTGGGTGTTTGCAAACCGTCACCCCGCCATTTCGGTGTCGAAAAGGGAGGCCGCACCGGCCCTGTTCTGCACCACTTTGGCTCTTCAGAGGTTAATTCCAGACTGGCAGGGATGAGCCTAGGGCAGCGAGTGCCCCAGTGCCCACAACCCTTGCTGCCGGCGCCTGTCGTTTTTTGCTCTCTGCAGTTTCCCTGAGGGCACAGCAGTGGGTGAACGTGGTGAAGATACCCAGGGTGTGGGGGTAGAGGTGGGGAGAGCAGCCAGATGGGATTGATCCCCAGAGCCAGATGGGATTTAAAGGTGGGGAGGGCCAGGGCATCCTGCTGGCCAGTGTGGTCAGTTGATGCCCGACTGGAAGGCTGAGACACCTCTACAGTTCGCAAGGATGAAAGGGTGAGAGGGTTATATGATATTCTAGTTGTTCATTCTCAAAGCAAAGAATTAATCAAGGGCGGACCTCTAGCTATAAATTTGTAGCTCTGGAAAACCTTCTGTCCCTTCTCAGGCTCTTGAGAAGCTGATCTGTGGGAGTAAGGATTGGGAACAGCTGAGAAAATTGCTTGTCCTTGTCTCAGCGACTGCAGTGTCTGCCTGTCTCATATGCACTTGACCTCTCCGTCCTGCCTGAGTGTGCTGTGAATGTGGCAGGGTCATATGGAGCCACAGCTCTTACTTGACAAGGTCCCCATGGAGAAGTAGACTGAGGGATCTGGCCAGCCCTACTGGGTGCCTCTAGTTGGGAAGTCCTATGCAGGAGAGCCTGGGCAGGATGCCAGCCTCTTTGACCTCTGCTCAGGCCCTTTTGCCAACTGAGTCATCCTAACTGGTAGGTGATAGAGTGGGAGAGAGGCTCATGAGGTAAGGACTTATGTATGTGGGGCTTATGCCATGTCCCCTCTCTTTCCCCTTCAGCGTGAATGCATCTCAGTCCATGTGGGGCAGGCAGGTGTCCAGATGGGCAATGCCTGCTGGGAGCTCTACTGTCTGGAACATGGAATTCAGCCGGATGGACAGATGCCCAGTGACAAGACCATTGGTGGAGGGGACGACTCCTTCACCACCTTCTTCTGTGAAACTGGTGCTGGAAAACATGTGCCTCGGGCAGTTTTTGTGGATTTGGAGCCTACTGTAATTGGTGAGCAGAGGAAGAGAGGGTGGAATTGAGGGGCTGGAAAGTGACTCTAAGCTTCTCTCTGGAGAGAGGATGTCTAGACCTGGCTTTCCTGGTCCTGAAAACCCCTTGCCCTGCTGGAAGCTAAAGAAGGGAGGCTGATCGCAGACTGGGCTGGGCAGCAGGTCTTGGTTTCTCCTACACACTGCTATCTCAGGCTGGCAGGAGGATGAATGCTTCCATATATCTGACCACAGCCACCAGGCTGAGGGAGGGAGATCTGTGCTGAGCACAGCCTTGTGGTTTTTGCCCTAACGATGTGGTGTATGACTTTTCAGATGAGATCCGAAATGGCCCATACCGGCAACTCTTCCACCCCGAGCAGCTCATCACTGGGAAAGAGGATGCTGCTAACAACTATGCTCGTGGTCACTACACCATTGGCAAGGAAATCATTGACCCAGTACTGGACCGGATCCGCAAGCTGGTGAGAATTGGGGGTAGAAGGAAGGAAGCTTTTGAAATGATGCTAATGGTCAGAAACATTTTTTTCCAAATCCATTTCATAGAGTCATCTCTAATTGTACATGTCTCAGAGCGTGCTGCGGGTGTGGGATACTCATTAGTCTGCCTTAACACCTGAGAAATTTTAGGCTTTTGTGAAGCTAGAACATATGAAATCCTCAGGCCCTTTCCCCACCCACATTGCTCTTTTCCTTCTTGCCTTTCAGTCTGATCAGTGCACAGGACTTCAGGGTTTCCTGGTGTTCCACAGCTTTGGAGGGGGCACCGGCTCTGGCTTCACCTCACTGCTGATGGAGCGGCTCTCTGTTGATTATGGCAAGAAATCCAAGCTGGAATTCTCCATCTACCCAGCCCCCCAGGTGTCCACGGCTGTGGTCGAGCCCTACAACTCCATCCTGACCACCCACACCACCCTGGAGCACTCAGATTGTGCCTTCATGGTGGACAACGAGGCCATCTATGACATCTGTCGCCGCAACCTGGACATCGAGCGCCCGACTTACACCAACCTCAACCGCCTCATCGGCCAGATTGTCTCCTCCATCACAGCCTCCCTGCGCTTTGACGGTGCCCTCAACGTGGACCTGACGGAGTTCCAGACCAACCTGGTGCCCTACCCTCGCATCCACTTCCCCCTGGCCACCTATGCACCAGTCATCTCTGCAGAGAAGGCCTACCACGAGCAGCTGTCGGTGGCAGAGATCACCAATGCCTGCTTCGAGCCTGCCAACCAGATGGTGAAGTGTGATCCCCGCCATGGCAAGTATATGGCCTGCTGCCTGCTGTACCGTGGAGATGTGGTGCCCAAGGACGTCAACGCCGCCATTGCTGCCATCAAGACCAAGCGCAGTATTCAGTTCGTGGACTGGTGCCCCACAGGTTTCAAGGTCGGTATCAACTACCAGCCCCCCACTGTGGTGCCCGGGGGTGACCTGGCCAAGGTGCAGCGTGCCGTGTGCATGCTGAGCAACACAACCGCCATTGCTGAGGCCTGGGCCCGCCTGGACCACAAGTTCGACCTGATGTATGCCAAGAGGGCGTTTGTGCACTGGTACGTGGGCGAGGGCATGGAGGAGGGTGAGTTCTCCGAGGCCCGGGAGGATATGGCTGCCCTGGAGAAGGATTACGAGGAAGTGGGCATCGACTCCTATGAAGACGAGGATGAGGGAGAAGAATAGAACCGCTGCCTGGAGCCCACTCATTATGTTTATTGCAAAATCCGTTCGAAATAAACAGTCTCCTTGCACGGTTTCTCGTCCCCTCTGTGAGTGCTTGAGCTTTGCTGCCTTCCCCTTTTGTGCTGCTGCTGCTGCTGCTGTTTCTGCTGCCGCCCTCACTGTGTGCTGCTCATGACTTTTTCCTTCCGTGGCTGAAGGTTAGACCTGCCAAGGGGCCCTTGTCAGGCCCGGGAAACATGACCCCATGTGTCATCCTAGGAGTGCCCAGGATGGGGGGAGATGAGGACCGGATCTTGGACCTGTCCAACATGAGCCATTAAAGGATCTGAGGCTTCACTTCCTTTCCAAGTAGGAGTTTAAGCCCAGCAGTTTCTGTATTTGAGTTAGACTGCTACCCTATTCTTCCCGCTGCTCTGCATTCACCGACACTGGAAGCAAAGCTTGGCCCAGGCACCTCTGAGTTTTAAGGGCTTGGGAGTGGGGCTGAGCAGGCCCAGAGTTCCTGGGCATGGAGCCTAGTCATAAGCTTGGGGGCTGGGAGGGAACAAGGGCGATCTCCTAGAGTTGTTTTTGTCAGTGCACCTCCCAGCAGCTTTGCAAAGCTTACTTTTGGTCTTGCTGTTTTGCTGGGGCCTTGGGTTGTGCCATTAAAAGTCAGGTCATCTCCCCTCTGTTTGTGCTTTCTTCTGGCCTCAGCTTCTGTGCTAGCTGGTGGGAGCCTCCTGCCAGGGCCCTGGGGAGAACTTCAAGGTTGCTAATAGGCACCCCAGGACCCACACTGACGTCAGCAGTTGGAGGGTGGGCACAGTTGGTGGGGGGGAGGAGCATCACTCTCAGGAGCAGGAGATGCCAACCCTGCCCTTCCCTCCCCTCCCTGGTGATTTAGGGACGCAGTGCCCTTCCTGAGGGAACAGGTTTACAGCCCAGCAAAGGCAGGGCCCCTGTTTACTCAGCAGAGGAGGCAGGAAGTGGCAGCTGGATACTGCCACACCACACAGGCCCCATTAATCATTAACCATGTGTGAACCAGAACCATCTCTGAGAGATTCTGGGCTAAAATGTCCACCACTTCCACTCCCCTTGCCCCCAGGCAGAGGCTGGAAACCAGTTGTGTGGTTGTCCCGAAGCTTCCTCAGGTGTCTCCACCCAGAAGCCCTTCCTGGAAAACCAGCTGGGCTGCTCTGACTAACCTACCCAGCCATGGGAATGAAGAAATAATGAGATGAGGGTGCTTTAAGGGGGCCCTTGGCCCAGTTCTTGGCATAGAAACCAGCTCAGGCCAGAGCAGTTTGAAGTTTTTGACTAAGACAAGCTAGGAGAAGAAGTGCCCATTCCCCTACCACCCAGATCTAAGGTAGGGATACCTGCCTCCGAATGTGGAGGGATGGTCACGCCACTCCTGAGGCTTCACCAGTCCCTCTTCTCTCCAGGCTCTCGCCCAGAAAAGGCAGCCAGCCTTTGGGCGCCCTGCACCTCCTCTCACTCCAGGAACAATGAGACTAAGATCACACCAAGCTGCTTTCACTTTATTCTTGTTTTATACATTCTCCTGCCCCCAGATTTGGAGGCAGATCATGATGTACGCTCAGCAGTCCTGCTCAGAGCCTTGACTATATTCTATCAGTTCCCCTCTCCCCATCCCCCACCCTCCCCCACCCCCACCTAGGCAGGCCTCCAGTCCAGTTACTGCTCTTAGGGGTGAGAGAGCAGAATCAGAGACAGAAGGCCAAGCCCCTAGCTGCCCCCAGTGACAAGGGCACGGTCCTGGACTGAATGGATGGAGATTCTACTGAGGGAGGGTGGCTCCTTGCCAAGGCACGGGGGCCACCTTCTCAGTGTGGCCACAGGTTTGTTCAGATATGGGTAGTGTGCTCATCCCTAGCCGGGGTCTGCAGCACCTCCAACTGACTCAGGAGCAGAGGAATGTGAGGGCGCTGCTGGGGGTCCACAGTCATCATTGAGGTCAGCAGCTGCCGCAAGGCTGAAGAATGCCTGCAGAAGGAGGAGGGGAGGGTGAGGAGGGCGGCCGCCCCCTGTGCTCTGACCCCTGCAAACGGAAGGGAGGAGCCCGGAGTGCCCCTGCTCCTTTCAGAGCTCACCTGGGACTCTGTGGGATGCTGAGCTGGTTCTGCACTGCAAGGGCCACGCTGTCACCCTTCTGGAACACCATATCGTAAGGGCCTTCCCCAAACATCATGGCATATAGCACACAGCCTAGGGACTGAGCATAACTTGGTTATTCCTTGGAAGGGGACCAATGGAGTCATCTCTGTTTCATTCTGTAGTGAAAGGAGACTACAGTATGCCAACTTCAGTCACGTGACACCACCAGGGCCCCAGAGAAACTGCCAGTTAGCTGGAGGCCTCTGCATCTTGCGCTGAGCTGCTGCCTCCAGCCCTAACATTTAGTTATACTTATCCTGCTCAAAGGGCAAGATTATACCACTTCCTGAGCAACTGAGCAGTGTCAGTGACAGTTCCTAGGAAGGAAGTTGAGGGGGGATGGGGACATACATGCTTCCTGGGGCCCCATGCACTGGAAACCAAAGACTTGCTCCTCCAGTTCACAGCAGCCACAGAGCAGCACTCCTTCCCTCCCACATTCCCACCCACATGCTCCTCACCCAGACATCAGTCCGCTCATCGATGACACAGTGGCTCTGCACAGAAAAGAGCTCCGGGGCCCGGTAGGAGATGGTGCACCGCTGGGCTGCCCAGTCCTGGAACAGTGGCCCCAGAGCTCAGAAGCAGGGCACAGGTCTTGGTCATGTGACCAAACCGGGGCATGCACCAGAAGGGGTTGAGGATGGGGAAGAGGTGGGCAAAGGACTCTGGAAACTTTTACCTGGAGGGCCAGAGCCTGGCGGGAGCCCTCCACGTGGATGCATGCTTGATTCATGGACCCCAAGTCCATTAGAACCGGCTGCCCCTCATCACCAAGCAAGATATTGGTGGGTTTCAGGTCCCTGTGGGGAAGTAGAAATGACCCATGAGCATCCCTGAACCAGAAGGCCAGGATCCTAGAGGGGTAAAAGAATCACAGGGACTGTTCCTGGAGAAGAGCACAGAGATCTCTCATTTCTCTTGATGAGGCTCTTCCTTTCTGTCCAGCAAGTACATGGGGCCTCCCACTGACCTGTGGGCATAACCCTTGGCGTGAATAGCCTCAAGGCCTCTGCAGATACCCAGCAGCAGTCGAATGATTTGCTCTTCAGTCAAAAAGTTGCCTTTGTCCTTCAGCTTTTCTATCTCGTTCCACAGCGTACCTCTCTGCAAAACAAGTTTCCCCACAGTTGATGTTTTTAGCCTCCGCTCCCTGACCTGATTCTTTCCCTATGTCAGAGTCTATAGTAATTTCACCACACACCCTACACCCCAGGTGGGTTCCTTAAACCCCAAATCTGAAATGCTCAAACCAGAACATGACCTCTGCTTCCTAATGTGCATGACTGCTCATAATAGCCCTTGGCACACACGGCTCTGTTACAACCCCATCCATAGCCAGGAGACTTTCTGACCTTGAAGAAGGGTAGCAGCAGCCAGGCCTCATGTTTAGTGCCTCGCTCTCTCAGACAATAAGCCACGAGGCGAAGGATGTTGGGGTGATGGAAGAGGCGATGCATGTCTGCTTCTCGTTGGGCCTCCTCCCGGTCCTGCTGCTCATGACACAGGATTCGCTTCAGGGCGTAGAACTGTCCATCATGCAACCCCTCCACTAGGTCCACAAAGCTGAACCCACTGTGGGCCAAAGAGGTCAGTGAAGGACCAAGGTCATCTCCCATACTGCTGGGATCCAGAGGAATTCCCTGGGGAGAAGTGCGGGGGTGGGGGTGGGGTGGGGGGTGTCTTTCCCATTTACTAGCACCACTCCCAAGGTGTGACACTAAAAAGAAGTCTGAAGATTATTAACATAGAGCAAGGACAGTCACTTTCTAGGTCCTATGGTCTTAATGCAGGGCTTCAATAAATATTAAATAAATAACAGCCAACCTTTATCAAGTGCTATGAATCAGGCAATAGGGGAGACACTTGATACGAATTATCTCATTTAGTTCTCACAGCCCCACCATTGAAGCACAATTAGCTCTAATAAGCAGATAAGGCAACTAGGGCTTATCAAGGCCATACATGGTGAATCTAGGAAGACTGGTTCCACAATCCACTTTCTTGACCACCAAGGAGCTGGGCTCTGTCCGGTGAATTAGAGGCTCTGTGTCCCTATCCTGTGCTGACAGCTGTCCTTCAAAAACCACAACTCTTGGGACTAAATGATTTCCAAAACACTCACCCCTCCCCCAGTTTATGGATGAAGAGGTAGCGCTTATGGTCAATGGTGACAGTTCCCCGAGAGCAGATGCAAAGCGCGTGGCCCATATTGTCTCAGTCATCCTCCTCAAGGACGGTCTGAAGCTGCCAAAGGGTTCGTCCAGGTCGAGTGGTCTTTTTCAGGCAAGTTGCTGGGGCTCCAGCAGATCATGCTGGAAGGAAAAGAATAGCAGGGGTACAATCCAGAAGACCTCCTAAAGGGCCAACGTGAGCGCTCAGACCCAGGTCTCCGAACCTAGAGAAAATAAGCCCTGGCAACGCCCGCTCCAAGAAGGCTGGGGTCAGGTGCCTTAAAAAGCCCCAGGCCCCGCGGCGACTCCCAGGGCACTTCCTCCAACCCCGGCCCACCTTCAGGCGGCCCCTCACTCGCACACCCCATTGGGCTGCAGAGGCAGGGCACGGGGTAGTTCCGGGGAGAAGTGCGAGGCCCGGACCAACCACTTGCAAAGCCCACTCCAGGTCTCGGTCTGGGTGGGCCAGCCAGGATACAGCACTCACCCGGCTTTAGCAGAAGGGAAGTGCCAGGGACCGGAAGTGGTAGTTACGTCATCAGTCTGCGCCGCTGTAACGGCCCGCAGTATCCTAGCAACCACTGAGCACTAGGACGATGTGGGGGCGTGGAGCTGAGAGGCCGGGGGCGGGTTAGGCCTGGGGGAGGACGGGTCCCAGGACCCGGGTGAGGGTTCCACACCTGGCCTGCAGTGGGGGTCAAGACGCAAGCACCTACGTCAAAAGGGAGCACAGCCGGGCTCGGCCCGAGGCCCCCAGGACCTGCATCTCCCAATGCCAGAGGTAGGAGGCGTCATGCCTCCCGTGCACCGGGTGGCCGACTGGGGTCCAGCCCGGAAGTGGATGCTCAGAGGGGGCGGGTGCTGGCAGCCTGGACCCCTTTGCAGCTCTGATCAGTACAACCTTGGGGGCTCTGGCCTGTATCCTATTACCGTAGTCTCAGTAGTTAAGAGCTCAGGCTCTTGAACTAGACTGGGGTCTGAATCTTAATAGCCTGGACAAATTACTTAACCTCTAGGAACCTCACTTTCCCTAACTGTAAAATAGGTGTAAGAGTACCTAAAGTTAAATGCATGAACTCTGAGGCCAGACTGCCTCATTCAAATCCCAGCTCTACTAAACTGGTTATGTGACCTTGTTAACAGGCTAATATTTCTATCCTTCAATAACCTCATCTGTAAAATGGAGATTATTATCTACTTCATGGAGTTGTTTGAAGATTAAATGAGAGGTGAAGTGCTTACTATAGCGTTTGATGCATAGCCCTGAGTAGTGTCCATAAGCAGAAGTAACAATAGTAACTATTATTATTACCCTGGTCTTCACATCCCAGGCTTGGGACTGTGAAGGCAGTGAGTGATGGAAATTCACAAATTCCCAAACCTCGGAACCTTGATGTCTCTTGCCCAGGCAGGGGTAAATTGGAAAGGGGCGCACATCCAAAGACGATAGGATGGCCTAGATGGTCTCTTTTGTTGAAACAGGACAGGATTCTCTAGGAAGAAGATTACTCTTGTAACCTGATCCCCATCCCAACTCCCACTCCTTTCATATACTGAGAAGATATCCTCTGGTTTCCCTTGGGTCTGAACCTGGATCTGACATTCATCTAGATTTAACCTGCTGTGTACTGGACCCTGTGATAGCAGCAGAGGACTCAGGATAGACAAGGCTCTCCCCATCCTCAGGGGCTCAATGTAACAGAGAACTACTTCTCAATCCTGAATGTGCTCAGGGCACCCGGAAATCTTGTTAAAATACAAATTCTGATTCTACAGGTCTGAGGTAGGGTCTGAGACTCTGCATTTCTAACAAGCTCCCAGGTAATGTTGATGAAGCTGGTTCATGAACCAGTAGCAAGATATAGAGGATTTTACAAACTAGTAGAGTAGCAGATAGCTGCAGGCTGGAGACAAAGTCCAGGCTAATCGCCTTGCAGCTTGCGGTGGTCTCCGCCCACTTGCTCGCTGAGGTTCTCTCCCAGGAATCTGCCACGTGACGGTCGGACTAGTGTCTCTGACTGGAAGAGCCCCGAAAGCGCCATGGCTCCCAAGAACCCTCTCGGCCTTCCCTCCCTGCTGCTCCCGCTCCTGACGCTGCTGCTGCCCCAGGTAGGATGGGAGAATCGAACCAGCCGCTGGGTGCGGTGAGACAGGGTCGGATCTGGCGGAGGAGAGAGTGAAAGTGAAAACAACAAAATACTGGGAAGGACTAGTTTCATCTCCTCTGCTCTTGGCAGATGCTGACCCCGGACTCAAGCCCACTGTGAGCATGGTCTCTCCCCTTACAGGCAGACACTCGGTCGTTCGTAGTGGATCGGAACCATAACAGATTCCTCCTGGACGGGGCCCCGTTCCGCTACGTGTCTGGCAGCCTGCACTACTTTCGGGTACCGCGGGTACTTTGGGCAGACCGGCTTTTCAAGATGCGAATGAGTGGCCTCAACGTAGTACAGTTGTAAGAAGTGCTCGTGAGAGCCATGGAAGGGTGGGATTCACTCCTCCTACCATGCTGTTAATAAGGGGATCAGGACAGAAAGACCGACTGGGTATGAGGATTGTAGCTCCAGCGCTTCCCTGCCAAGGGTGGAAAAGGGGGAGGGCCAGGACCTCCTTCCCACAGCTTCCTGGAGATTCCTGCAGGCCTGAGCCCCTTGTGGCCTCCCTGGCTTCTCCCTGTCTTGGGCCCTGTTAACCTCTTCCTTTTTCAGTTATGTGCCCTGGAACTACCATGAACCAGAGCCTGGGGTCTATAACTTTAATGGCAGCCGTGACCTCTTTGCATTTCTGAAAGAGGCAACTTTAGCCAACCTGTTGGTCATACTGAGACCAGGACCTTACATCTGTGCAGAGTGGGAGATGGTGAGTTAGTTGGAGAAGGAATAGAAGCAAAGCTTCCCATGTGCTCCCACTCTAGGGCCACTTCCATCACTACCCTCAACTCCCTCCCTTCTTACCTACCCTATTCCAGTCTCAGACAACAAAGTCCACTCACTTTTTTGTTGTCTTTATGTTTGTCTCAGGGGGGTCTCCCAGCCTGGTTGCTTCGAAAACCTAAAATTCATCTGAGAACCTCAGATCCAGGTGGGTAGAGAAAATAGACTGGACTCAGAAAAAAGCAAACAACAACAAAATGGGTCATTTGGGTACCCAAAACAGAGATCATTCATTCCAATTATTTACTGTTTTAATCATGCCCAGCAGCACGCGGGGAACTGGGGGACCAGACAGATTCAGGGTGGAAGAAACATTAGTTTAAAAAAAACACACACCCAAAACCTATATAAGATTATTTTTAAAATACTACACAAGAAAATGGACAAGGAGTTGAGATAGTGAATAACAGGGCCTCTTTTAGGTAGGAAAGCCAGAAAAGGCTTTTCTGAGATGACATTTCAGTTACTCTAGGAAAGGGAAAGCACTGGTCATATGAAGAGTGAAGTCAGAATGACCAGGTAGATGGAATGGTATACTTTTCTGGGGGGAGGGCTGTGCTGTGAGTCTTGTGGGATCATGGTTCAGATGAGGGATTGAACCTGGCCCCTTGGCAGTGAAAGCTCGGAGTCCTAACTACTAGACCACAGGGAATTCCCAGGTATGGTGTGTTTTAAGGCCCAGAGGTAGGACAGAACACTGGCATGAGTGAGGCCAGCATGGATGGAGCACAGCGGGTAAAGGAGAGTAGTATGAGAAATTGGAGCAATATAGTGAGTGTTAATGCAGGACCACTGTAAGGGGTTTGCCTTTTATTATAAGCACAACAGAAAGTCATTGAAAGAGTTTAACCAAAATTATCTGATTTGTTTTCAGATTACATTAGCCTGGATGTGGAAAATGGATTGAGGGGAGCAAGGGTAGAGGTGGAGAAACTTAACTGGGAGACTGTGATCATAGTTGAGGAGAGAGATGGCTCCTGGTTGTGATAGTAGTGGAAATGCAAAGAAGAGGGCAGAAATGAGCTATAGGTTGGAGGTAAAGGTCAACAGGACTCAGCTGACAGATGTTGATGAGAAAGGGAGTGGTGGCGGAGGGGTGGGGGAACAGTGTGGGTAGGATGAGGAGAGAAAGGAATCAAGCGTCCAGCCAGTCAAGATGGTGGTGCCACTCACTGACTTAGGGAAGACAGAGAAGACTAGGGGTGGCAAAAGATCAACATTTGGGGGAAAAACAATAGTTCTTGTCATGTTAAATTTTTATCATTCTAAGGGATGCGATTTAATGTATGCTTGGATTAAAGGAGGCAGTGCAACCTGGCCCTCCTTTATACAGAACACAAAATGTAAAGAAATTGAATGTTTTAAAAGTGTAAAGATAGCCTCTAAAATGTCTTTCATTGACTCCAACTTTGAGAGTCTGCTATCTGCTAGGCATTGTCCTCAATGACAAGGATGCAGCCAATGAGCCTGACAGACAAGGTTCCTGCTCACTAGTAGGGGAGACTGACAGGAAACAATTACAGACACACACACTTAATTTTAATTTCTTAAGCACTTGAAAAGGGAGTATGAGGTGATGTGAAAGAGTGTAACAGGGGGAATCTACCCTCCTCTAGGATATCAGAGGTTTTCTTGGGGAAGTGAAATGTAAGTTGAGACCTGAAGCCTGAGTTGGAGTTGCCTAGGTAAGGAGGCAGAGGTCATGCATGAAGACCCTGAGGGTGAGTCAACAAAAATCACCAACAGGAGTTGAGAACTAAAGGCATGCCACCTCATATAGTGATCTTTCATTTGCTGACTTAAATGTCCTGAACTGGCAGTTCCATCAGGGTGCAGGTCAGATATTCTACAATTTTGTGAATTCCCATGCTACTTCATACCTGAGTCTGGTGGGAGCCTGTAACCCCTAGAGTCCATGGGGTCACAAAGAGTCAGACGCGATGGAGCACACATGCGTGCACACTACTTCATAGCGATCTCAAGTGTATATTATATATGGTTATGTAATAGCTCTACGTGATGTGTTTTAATATTTTTTTCCTGATATTTAAAAAATGAATTCTCACTGCTTTGTGTCCTGTGCTCAAACTTCATTGCCATGCAAATATTCAAGTGCTTAGGGTTCAGAGTTTCCTCTGACAGGTCACTGCTTCCCAGACGGAGTTATGGACAAGTGGGATGACACACAGTGCTTCCCTGAGCTGAGGTGGCACTCAGGATGCTAGCACTGATGCTAGGGGTGGGGGCCAAGGAGGTGGCAGTGCCCTAACGAGCAGAGCACTGCTTCTTCCTCTAGACTTCCTTGCCGCAGTGGACTCCTGGTTCAAGGTCTTGCTGCCCAGGATATATCCATGGCTCTACCACAATGGGGGCAACATCATTAGCATTCAGGTACCAGTGGAAAGTTGATTGGGCTAGGGGAAGGAGGTGCCAGTGCCCTTAATTTCTCCACCTCAGAGCTGACCTCCACTTTTCCTTTCCCCGGGCAGGTGGAGAATGAATATGGTAGCTACAGAGCCTGCGACGTGAGCTACATGAGGCACCTAGC